ATGGATGGATGGATGGATGGATGGATGGATGGATGGATGGATGGATGGATGGATGGATGGATGGATGGATGGATGGATGGATGGATGGATGGATGGATGTACGTTTTGGCTCTTACAAGGCAAGTACAGGTACAAAGTATGTAATAGTGATAAACAGATCTAGCTACTGTGATATAATAATGTAGTATCTTCCTACATCTGCAATCGTTAATGTATACTGGTATGTACAGGTTCAATTTCTTTTATTTTGTTATAAAAGAAAATAATTAAACTTCTTGCTTCTTAAGGCAGCTTTAAATGAACAGATGGTGATTACAGTACATGAAAATGCTAGGAAAGCCACATACTTTGGTACGCAAACATAACAAGATGTGTGACATATATGTATGCATGATAGCAGTGATAAACGCTACAATGACAACGACAATGACTCACCATTCTCGAGCGAAACTTGAACATCTAGACGCAGAAAAAGACATACAAACGACAAAGGATAGTCATCAAAAGAAAGACACCGAGTACTTCTGTAAACAGGTTTGCATATTGTGAAGAACAGTTATGTGGTAGTCGAGGCATGTTCCTTATCGAAAACATGACACTCGGAAAATAAAGAGTTAATGTTGCTACATAAAACAAATCACAACACATATGTACCATGGAGAAGTCTAGTTATATCACGTTAAATACTAGCCTGACTAATCGCGCTCCTGGCGGCCGGCCGCCCCGAAGTTGCCGCCCCCCCACCTTGGGGTGGAGGTCATTAACCTCCGGCCGAGAGCTTGTGTAAGTTGTAACACAGGCTAGTTACATGCTACATGGGAGGGTGCCCCCTGGGTGAGTCTCCACAAGACTCCTATGTTTTTGTTGCTAGCTAGCGCTGGAAAGTATATTGGTGAAACGATGTACCAGCGGAGTTAGACGACCATGGGAGTACACTTTGTAACCCACGGAGTCATTGGGTAGTCACCATTTTCTATATAAACTATATAAAAGTAATCCACCCTTTATTCGATCAAAGCAACCAGTTCAGCGTTGAAGACAATTTAAACAAGAAGCCATAGGTGACAATTCTCCGTGAAGTTTTATATATTTCAACAAAATCCCAAGCGTCAACGCCAGACCTACTGTGCAGACATTATAATTAGGCAACGGTTAATACCACGCTCGTCCCCAGCGCCCGTGGAGAAGCCATAGGTTATAGATCGTGGCTTAGCCCAGGCTATGGAAAATAAACTTTCTTTAATGCAAATCTGTCGTTTTTGTTTTCTTTGCGCTATCTAAAGGGTTAGGATAACCTACTCTACTCTGGCGGTATTGTCGTGCGCGCTCGCTAGTACGTAACGGGGGGTGCCCTAATTCCGACCTATGTTCCATGCAAACGCACAGACCTTTGGTAATAGTTTATCTGACCAAAAACCCGCGCAACATGAGCTATAATATTGACAGATAAAGATCACAATGATTAAAGCTGTGCAGCTGTATATTTCACTTTAGTGTAGCGCCTTGCACCCAGGCGTAATGGTTCGCGAAACGCACGGCAGGTTTTTGGTCATTTTGCCGGTGGAACGTTCTATCGCAACAGGGGTGCCCTAATTCCGACCTAGTGTTTAACACAGGTCGATCTGAGAAGAGAGTTTAGAAATTATAATACACAAATTATGACTAAAACAATCTACAACTGTTTTTCTGTCCCAAACAAGTAATCTTTTTACGACTACGCGACTTGCTCCAAAGTGGCTGTTTGAAAAGCAAAACCTGCATTTTTGACACGCTCGTCAACCCGCGAACAAGCGTCGAATTCACACAAATTTTTCACTCGTCTGTTGTCGGAGTGTACTAACTAAAACAAACTTAGTGACATTACCGATATCAATTCAAAAACTTTGTCCATTCTTGTGGTTATTTTTAGGCACGTGCTCCCATGCATAACGCCGCAACAAGGATTTTTCAAACTAGTTCGGTATTAGGGATGGGTCGGAATTAGGGCACCCCCCGTAACGTTACACGGCGGCCATCTGAATACATGTACACTGCATTCTTTCTACTATCGGGACCTAAAACAAGACGCAAGATTCCTATTTTGGGGTATAAAATGCTGTCACAATGGTAATATATACCAAATGAAACGGACCTTTACAAAGTACCTCATTTGGTGACGCTATGAGGGTGTACCGTTATCCCTCTACATTTGCCCAGAAGGGAGTTAGTCGCGGAAGGAACTTAGCCACGGAGGGAGTTTTGGCATTCTCCGCCCGCGCCACAAACTCTCGTCCCCAGGACAGTTCACTCTGCTACCCAGCATGCTTTGCGCAAAATGCGTTCTCGGCCCCAGGACACAAAT